TTTACCGTAATTGTTTACAGTTTTTTACACTCTAAGCTTTTTACTGAAAAAAAAGTAAAGGAAAAAAATAAAAAATAATTCTGTTCAGCACCTCCACATTAGGAAAATTGGCGGGCCAATGTGACGAATTCAAAATAAAAAGAGAACATTAAATAAAATTAAATAAAACATAAAATAAAAGTGCAACAACTTTTTTTATTGCATCAAAGGGTGCGAACGAGAGGGGAATTGCAAAAGAATTATAGTAGAATTAAGAGGTAAAATCTATATACTATTGCTAAATGTGTGTTAAATAGATTCTATGTAATAAACTTGATAAAGCTATAACTAATTATTATTTGTGTATAGTAATTATTTAAATAAAATAATATTAATTATTTAAATAAAATAATATTAACTATTTAAATAAAATAACATTAATTATTTAAATAAAATAATATTAACTATTTAAATAAAATAATATTAATTATTTATTTTTTTAATTGTCATTATTTTATGTTTTTAAAATTTTTATGACAATTATTAAATTTATAGTAGGATGTAAAAGACGATTAAGCTTATTCACTAATGTTGTTTTTCACATTACAATCATTTATAATTAATTAATTAAAAAAAAATTTATGTTAACATAAATCATTATTCACAAAATATTGGTCTCGCCCGTGCGACCAATGTTACTCCTCGTGGAGTAACATTAGCATTCTCAGTATTACGTACCTAATAGTATTTCTGGAATACTACTAGGTTCTAATAGTATTGAAATTTAACAATTAAAAATAAAAATATAATTTATTAATTCAATTATTCTACAGCTGGTTTATGGCAAGTGAATTTGCTAAAAAAATTTTCGCAGCCAAGTCACAGGCTTTGGGTCAGTAGGTTAAGGTGCACTGACTCTGAGTTTTAAATTTGGCAGGACACGAGTTCGATTCCTGGTACTTGCAGTCCCAAAAAAATTATTTACGAATAATTAAGCACAAGAAATATTTCCAAGACCACTGATGATGGGTAATTGGCAATACTGTATGGTCAGCCAAAATTTAATTAATTAAAATAATATAAAATGAATTCTTGTAGTTCACTACTGTTCGTAAAATCTCTTTATAAATTATTAAATAAATAAAAATTATCTTGCTTGATTTTGCTGGTTTAATATATAGAGGTCTCTTCATGCCATTATTTTTTAATATTAATAAAAGTCGTACAATAGTTTCCAAACAGATTCTAGATCCTTTTCTTAGATTTGAAATTGATTAACATCATTAATATGACATCTAATGAGTCTTAAGAATATTTTATATTTTAGAATGTTTCCCATACGTTTAAATTATCTTGGCTAAAATTTTACATCTCAATAATTTCCTTTTCCTTGAACCAGTTTAGCTTTAATTAGAATTCCATTCATTCACAATCCGCTCTTGTTAGTGTTAGTCCTTTTTTGCTGGCATTTAATGTATATATTTACACTAGGTTGAAAATGCTTGCATGCATGTGTGAAATGAAGGAGTTTACTTCGTGATTAAATGAATTTAATTTATTATAACAATTTATAGATACTTTGCATAATCAATGTTAGATTTAATTACTTTATGGAATCCTGTTTGCTATTGTTTTATTAAATGAATAGAAAATATTTAATATTTTTTCCAAATTAAATTCATGTTGGTTCAGATGTTACGTCTGCAATACACACTAATTGTTTAGATACAAGCTTTTATAAAAAGAAACAACTATTTCATTTGTCAATATATTTTTACTCAATACGGTTTTTAATATTGAAGGTTATATTACATATTTTTAATAAAAATTTTATTGATCGATCGAAATTTATACAATGCTGTAATTAACTTCAAACTTGGTGCATAAAAAGATTTTTATTTTTCAATGAATTTACATATACATCTATCAAATTATATATCGGTCATTTTAGTATAAATTATTGCTAAAAATATATCTAATATGATCGCTGAGGAATGAAATTTATTTTATTTATATATACCCCAAAAACTATAACGATCAATAGGTTGCTACGCCAATTCATGATTTATATATATGTTCTCAAAGAGAAATTATTATTTTTTGTTAATATATTAACTACAATTTTGTTTATTAAGTAATTCCACATATATGTTATGTATAAACATCATTACTATACAATTTTATTCTTGAATTTATGTTTTGATATAGTTTTGAATATAATAATACATAATAACAGTTTATTATAAACGAATCTCAAATTCTTAAATAATTTTAGTAAATATAAGAGTTCCTACGATTTAAATAAAGAATTTTATGTGAAACCTATAGTGGTCAGCTTAGATAAATCCAAAGCTGTTTGTTTATCTGATTTTCTGATTTTATTGTATTTACTTGTTTATTTGTTTTAACTGCAAAGGTTTAATGAGTTATACAATGCATTATATAAAACAATAATAAAAATCACGTAACCCATATCTTCTTGTTCAGACTAAATGTGTTTATAATTTTTAATAGTTATTGGTGTAACCGGAGTATAACAAAAACAATAAAAGAAAATCAAAGATTAAATGTATTTATATTTTTTAGTAGGCATAATGTAACTTTACACCAAATTATAACAGATTTCTAATCGGTCTTCTATTTACTTCTGATTAATCTTTAATCTTTTAATCTATAATCTTTACCCGAACATTTTGAATCCGACAAATATAATTTTAGGATAGACCCAGCTTCATAGCAATGCTTTTTTATAAGCAGTGACCTGACAGCATCAATACTGTAGTACTAAACAGGTTATGCTATAGTTGAAGCAGCTAACTGGTAAGTTTTTTCTTCAGTTTGAACCAGGTCTTGAGATTGAACAGACGTTTTTATCTGCCCAAGTTTTTTATGCTATACTCAGATATTTTTGTTTTATCACAATATATATGTTATCATATCATAATTTGAATGATGAAGTTTTCATATTCAATTCTATGCCTTAAACCTGGAATCTTGTATTCATCTATCTGTTACTGGTAACATTCTCATTATCAACATTTTTACTCAATTTTATCTTAAGCGTTTTCTTAGAATACAAACAAATTGTGGTTTTCACAAAATTAGGATGTATATCGTAACGTAGAATTGACAGGTACGGAGTTGGTTTTTTTTATACAGTGATGTTGGCACATTATAACGAACTATATAATGTTTGGGTCATACGTTATTTCTAGTTTTTATCCAAAAATTTATTACATTAAAAACATTTTATAGCCATTAGAGTTATTTCTCTAAACAAAATGCTTTATGTCATGCATTTCTGTTATCATATTTACTACATTGACCCAGCACTGTATTTAAAACACATATATACAAAGAATTATATAGTGCATTTTAGTAGAGAAGGACAATGATATAACAACAAGTAGTAAAACCGATTCTATTTTTTCCTTAGTATGTAATTTGTTGTTGCTCAGTGGCCTTTATTAATGGCCTACTATGTAATACTTCATATTATACCATTTGAGTTGGTTATTCATCCTGGACACACTGAATTGTTATTGTTTAGTATGTAATTTGTTGTTGTTCAGTGGTCTTTCTTAATGAATGCACTATATCCACTATGTAATACTTTATATTATACGATTTGAGAAAATTATTTATCCTGGACACACTGAATTGTTTTTGAGAATTAAACTCAGTAAACTCAGCGAATCCTAGAAAAGTAGGCACTTAGGGACAGAAATATCGGGAAAATACTGGATAATATTAAGAATATGAAAATTAGGCAGGTGTAGATAATATCGTAGCAGAATGTTTAAAATCGTCTTAAAAACTTATTAATTTTTAAGTATCATCAAAATTAATTAATTTTCTATAAAACTTTATGGTTTTATACTTTTAATTGTATTCATTTTTTGCGTTAAACTACTTTTTCAAGGATATTTTGATAATTTCACAATATATTCGTAAATTTTGCAATTCATTCTATATCTTACATAAATATGATTAAGACTACAAAAATTAATATAATCATTATGTGTTCATACATTTATGTATAGTATACTTTATCTCTCTGGTTTTTGAGACTTGAGCATGAGACTTTTTTGATTGATAGTTTAAGTGTATTTTAATCTCAGCATAGAGTAAATTATTATGCATATATATAATTGATAAGTTTTTTGTTTAAAGCGATTTTTTTATACTTCTTATTTCTTATTATTGCTTTTAATATTATACTTTTACATTATTTTATTTTTAATATATTAGACATTACTTTCAATATATTAAAAAAGCAAGTAACAATCCGAAAATGTGAACATTACACTACTGTAGTATTTTTGGTGTAATAAGAAACAGACTACATTTAATTACATTAGATAATGTATAGTATATACATATATGTATGTGGATATATATATAAGGTTACCATTAGAATTAATAGATTTATTTGTCGTGTGATAATTACAAATGTATCCATTGTTAGAGTAACGATCACTAGCTTTGTTATCACTTATTAAAGTAATTAATGCATAGTTCTTCAGAAACCAATCATTTTTCTCACTATTTAGGTAATATTAGAATTCCATATCGAAAAATTTCCTTTTGTGTAGAACCCATGCAGTGCAGTATATAACTTCCGACTTCTTTAAAATTGCCTAACCATTACTTATTTAACGCATGGTTCATTTACTGTACCAGTCCGATAGAGAAATATTTAGTTTTGACTTTTGAGCATTTTCCGAGTTAGTGCATCTGGGCTCTTTTGCTCTTTGATAAAATTGCCTAACCATTACTTATTTAACGCATGGCTCATTTACTGTACCAGTCCGATAGAGAAATATTTAGTTTCGACTTTTGAACCTTTTCCGAGTTATTGCATCTGGGCACTCTTACTCTTTGATAGCTGGGGAGTTTCCCATCCTTTTCACTGACTA